GGCGCGACACGCTGTCCACGGCCTGGTCCCCGAACGCTCACGTTCCGAGCCTTTCGCAGCCGCCCGCCCCGCGGAGCGGAGCGACACGCCTTCCGCTTGCAAGGCGTAGCGTGTCGCCGGCGCGGCCGCCGCGACACGCTGAGCAAGCATTCCCGTTTCTAGATTCTAGAGACGTCCAGGTTGCTCGAGAGGTTTACTTTTTTTTGAGCTTGATTAGCCGGGTGTCTTTTCACTCCCACGAGGGTTCCACCTTCTGGGGCCTCTGCAGATAGTTTTTGTTGGGCATCCGGTTGGTTTTTTTTTGGGGGCCCCCCTTCGGACAGTTTCGGTACTGTTGGTACGGATTGAGCGAGCCTGAATATCGCCACCCACCAAGCCACCCCAACCCAACCCGAAGGGTCGGATTTTCCCTCGATTTCTAGTGGGGGGGGGGTCCGGGAACATCGGAAAAACACATATGGAGCCCATACCCCCCCCAACCCGAAATTCGGGTCTTCGGGTTGGGTTGGGGTGGTCTGGTAGCTAGTCAGAATGCGCCTTAGGCGATGCTTAAGAAAACTGAAGTTTTCGGCCAGAGTCTCGATTATTCTTAACGTTTCAATGTAAATCCTGGATTTTGATAGAAATTTTGGGTTTTTATTCAAGTTCTGAGACCATGAATTTCTTAACCCACGATTGCTTAACCATTTCGCGTGGTGTACGCATGTCTCCACGCTTGCGCATGCGCGGTCATACGATCCAGCGGGCGGGGGCGGCATGGGGCGCTCGGGCCGCCGGCGCCTCGGGTTCGAACAGCTTTTCCCTGAGAGGCGCCAGCCTCCCCAGAGGTCGTTCCTCTTGACACCACCGCCCTTCTCCTGCTTCCCCATCCTTCTCCTCCCTTTCCTCCTCCTCCTCCTTCTCGTCCTCCTCCTCCTCCTCCTCCTCCTCCTCCTCCTCCTCCTCTTCCTCCTCCTCCTCCTCCCCCCCTTGCTCTCCTCCTCCTCGTCCTGCTCCTCTTTCTCCTTCCTTTCCTCCTCCTGGGCAGCAGGTGCGGTCTTGCCGCGGACTTCGTCCGAAGACGGCAGCGAGTGCGGGGGATCTGCCGCTTCGCGGTCGCGGCCCCGCTTCCAGGCTCTCGGTGGAAGGAGAAGCGATGGCAACGCCACCGGGGAGGCCCCCTCCAGAGAGGTCCACGATGCCTCCCCGAAGTGGATGCGGGGGATGCCTCGAGTGAAGGGCGACGCCAACGCCGCCGCGGAGGCGCCCCCCCCCCGAGTGGTCGAGCTGCTGTTCCCTGGTGGCGTCGGCGTCGGTTCCCTCGCTCCGACGAGGCGAAGCTGCGGCGAAGGCTGCTGCGAAGGCCTTGGCAGAGAGGAACTCGAGGCGCCAGGTGTGCAGGGAGGCGTGCAACAACTGGAACGGCCTTGCTCGCAAACTGCGCGTGTCCGTGTCCAGCCTGGTCGATGCCGAGAACGCTGCTGCCACGGGGGCCGAATACTTGGCCAAACTCGTGGAGAAGCGCGTGCAGACGGACGCCGGCGCGGCGGCGCCGCGGCCGGCCGCGCGCACCCACCTCGCCGACGGTGCCGTTTTTCAGTCCCCGCCGTTGGATCCAGATGGCGACGTTCTGCCCGCCAAGGTCGCGGGCCTTCGCATTCTGAAGCCCGGTCTCGAGCTGAAGTCCAAAACGTTCGCGCTGACCTGCAGTGCTTTCAGTTTTTATCCAGCCACTTGGGAGCCCTTTCTGCCGTGCGTGAAGGAACTGCGCCAAAAGGTCGGGGCGCGAGCGTGCTCGGCATGCCTAAAAAGCAAGGCCTCCGCGCAGACGGTGGCGCAGCTGACAGGCGTCACCTGCGCGGCTACTTGTTGTGGGCAGACGGCGCTGGGGTGCACGTAGAGAACTTGGGCCCTTTTGTGTGTTCAGACCGTCAGGCCCAGGATCGACGTCTGCGTGTCCAAGACGAGCGCTGTCTCCCCGCGCGCAGCAGCGACCCGCGGCTTGTGGTGCGTCTGGCTGCGCAAGAGCGGGACGTTGTTCGACGCTGCGAACTACGAGGCGGGTGCGCGGTGTGAACCACAGGCACCTTGGCTGCGTAATCTCTACCAGGACAAGAAGCTCACGTGCGAAAGGTGCATGAAGCTCTCCGCCGAGGACTTCCCACTGGGGCATTCTGCTCGCAACCGCGACGCTGCCGAGGCCCTCCGCGACGCGACAGCTCCGGCGGTGGGCAACCTTGTGTCCAGCGAGCTCGCTTTGCTCAAGTCTGGCAACAACTATCAGCAGCCCCGTCTGTCCTGAAGTTGTCCTGTTTGTGGGCAAGTTTCGCGCGGCGACGTGTCGGCGGCCAGCGCTGCTCATTGTTGGCGCGACGAACTTGGGAAAATCCATGGTCGGTGTAAGCGTCTTTGAGCAGGTCGGCGACGCCGTGGGCCTCCCGGGCGCTGGCTTCGCCGAGGTCACTGTGGAAGACGACGAGCACGTTGACTTCCCGGATCTTGATTCCGAGAAACACGCTTGCATGTTGCTTGGTGGGGCACCCGATGTCATGCGGTTGCAGCGCGACAGGGGGGCGTTGCAGGGGCAGCCCGAAAAAGTGAAGGGCGCTAGGTCGGCAACAGTGAAGTTCTCGTTTCCTTTTGCTCTGTGCCAGAGAGCCATCGAAATCGCGATGGACCTGCCAGCCAAGAACCTGCGTCTCCTGAGCGCGACATCGCGCAGCTTCACCTGGCGTAGCGCCATTGGAAGCGCGGGTGCGGATGTTGGCCCTGCCCTCGCTCTTGACGCGAGAGATGTCGCGGTTGAGTGGTCCGCTGCAGCTGTCTCCTGTCTTCTGCAAGGCGCGGGCTTGGAACGTCCTGCCCGAGCCCTGTTCAGCCGCGGGGTGGCCTGCGTCGACCTCTCGTCTGTCGCCGCAGACGTCCTCGCGAACGACCCGCGCCCGTCGACGTTCGCGTCCCAGGCGGCGCTGGCGGCGAGGGATCGCCCCCTTCGGATCCCGAGCCCAGGCGCGAAGGGGGCAGTGCAGATAAATCGGTGCAGCGCTGCCGTTCCCTGCCCGGCGCGCGAGGGCTGTGCTGGGCCGCCTGCCCCTCCCCCTCCCCCCCTCCCCTCCTCCTCCTCCTCCTCCTCTCCTCCTCCTCCTCCTCCTCCTCCTCCTCCTCCTCCTCCTTCCTCCTCCTCCTCCTCCTCCTCCCCATCCCCCCCCCCTCCTCCACCTCCTTCTCCTTCTCCTCCTCCTCCTCCTCACCCTCAGGGGCCAGCGCGGATCCAAGGAATCCGCGCGGAGCACCACAAGCATATGTTTGTGGCGTTCGTTTCGTCTGAGGACGGCGGGAGCAAAAATCGACCTCTCAAGAGGTGGCAACGCTGTCGGGTTCCAGGTGTCCCGCATCGGCCATATGGGCATATGGGCATTCAGAGTGGCGTTTCCGTTTCGAGGGGGAGTCGTAGAAGTCTTCCAGTCGGGGTCCAGAGCAATCATGGGGCTTGTTTTGGAGCACCATTCGGAGTCTTCTGGTTGTGAACGTGGGCCTGCACGCAGATGAAGTCTCATACTCACCTTGAGAGGCCTTTAGCCCACATAGGGAAACAAAGCTGCCTTCCAGGGCCAGTTTGTTGTCCCTTTGGGGGTCTGGGGGCTGCTCTGGAAGGTCCTGATGCCGTCTGGGGGGGTCTCGGCCGGGCCTTGTGCCAGTCTTGCTTGGGCCGTCTTGGAGCCGTCGTGGAGCCGCCTTGGAGGTCAGGTGGGGGCT